TCGACTAAGTCAGCTAAGTCAGCTTTTATAAATTCGACTTAGTCAGTCGATAGTTTAGATCCGACTAATAACACTACTCGCAACAGAGCAATATGAAGAATTATGTGAAATGCACCTTAACCTAATGAAAGAAATGGAGATAGAACTTGTAACGGAGGATAATCATAATATGGAAGATGATAATATTGAGCAGTTTGCAGCTTCAATTAGTAATCCAGTTGGCATACATTCAAAGAGTAGAAAATAGAAAGACTTAAAAGAAGCAAGAATAGGTAATGTGTATCAAGTGATTAGTTAATTTCTTTAAGGAAATTCAAATATAATTAATCGAATTTGTATGTAAAAACCTAGGAATCGATGAAAATTTAGCTTGTCAAGAGAATTGTTGCAGTATTTGTGGTTAGGCAAAATCTAACTCTTGTATATATAACTTGGATGTTTCAAATAATCAGGTAGATAATGTGAATAAGGAAGGTTTTAATGACGTGGGTAAGTTAATATGTATTTAATCCAAATAGAATAACAAAGCAATATTACGTAGTATTAATAATTATGCATTGCAGTCAACCATAGTCATCATGAAAATAGGTTTCGGCATTGTGGTGTTTGTGGTCAAATAGGCTACAATGCTCGTACATGTAATTTGGATAGTTCAAGCAAACAGATAAACAATTTAATTCTGGAAAGCCATAATCGTGAAAATGAAAGTAGATTACCATTACCATTACCGTTACCAATTGCAAATAAAAATGATGGAGATTTAAATTTAATAAGTTCAGGTAAGTTAAGGTTTATATTGAACTATATATTATAATAGACAATAATACTAATCATTGCAGCATTGACTTTATTGCAGTTGATAAGGATCTTGCCAACAATAAGTCTTGCCGCTGTGGTATTTGTAGACAAATAGGTCATAATGCTCGTACATGTGATGCTAAAAGGTAGCTTGTAAGTATATTGATAGGTGTGATTGTATGTTCAATCGTTAGTTTGCTGAATTTATATATGCCTATATGACTATTGTATATTGTGTTTGCTTGCATGTTTTTATCATATATATATGTACATATCTGGTATAATGTTTGCATGTACGTATACGTATACGTACTTATGTTATGTGTATTGTGTGTATCGTCTATGCAACATAATGTTTAATTGCATTTGGATGTGTTGTGAGTGTGTTACTGTATAATATTATAGAATTATTATAAAACGCAACTATGGTGTTTTAGCACCTATGTATAATTTCTTTTAATAAAATTTAGGGTTAGGGTTAGAAAATTAAGAATTATTTTTTTTTATATAATATTATAGAGCTAATATAAGATCCCAATCTTAGTTTTTGTGAGGTTTTTGGGGGTCCTGAACATTTTTACTTAGAGAACCCGATTCTGTTTACTTAGTACGTTTTTGAGAAATGGGACCTATGGTGTAAAAACACCATAGGTGCGTTTTAGTAAAATCCATATTATATATATTTATTTATGTAATATTTGTATGAAACTTTGACACTAATAAACATGAGATTGATCAAGGATGTGTATGTTGTATCTTGAATTGGAATAATTTTAGTATAATTTGGGCCAGAATTTCAAAATTTTAAGATTAGTGTTAATCATTGGAGTGACATGTGACGATCTGATAAAAATCAAGTTTATTTAGATTAGGGTTAGGGTTAGAAACAGGAGAGTTAGAGAATTCTATAGGTAAAATTATCTCCCTGACATTTTTTGTTAGTGCGTAGAAGGTTGTTTCTTATGAAGTTTGTTGAGAAATAAACGATTTCTTTAATTTTCTTTAGTGTGAACGTTTGTTTTGAATTTCCTGGTCATGTTATGTTACACTAAATTGTATAATATACAAGTTTAATATTTATGGTGTTTAGCGTCTATGGTGTTTACCACCTATGGTGTTTAGCATCTATGGTGTTTAGCACCTATGGTGTTTTGTTTAGCACCTATGGCGTTTAGCACCTATGGTGTTTAGCACCTATGGTGTACTTTAGTAAACTCGATATTAACTAATTGTAAATAATTTTATTAAGGTATAAATGTTTAAAATTTTTGCTAGTCATAAAAGCATTGCCGTTAAAGAACATTTAATAACATATTCAATCTCAAGCTTGTATCTTTTACAATTAATCCAATAGTTAACTCCATCATCTAAATATTCACTAATAGATGTAATATAACTTGTTATTTTTGGAGCGTAATTCTTTGGTTAACCAATCAAAGCCCAGAATTCACACACAGACATCAGGATTACTATTTATTTACAAAATTTAAAAGCTTTAGTTCTACAGTACAGACAACCTAGTCCCAAAAAATAAAATTAATAAAATTCAAATTGATGATTCTTTTTTTTTTAAAAAAATAGTAAACACAAAATATTATCTTGAAATGTTAAATTTAGACAAGCTAAACGCTTTTTGTTTTTTTAAATCTATTTATTAAAAAGTTATAGCAAGTTATGATATAGTACTTTTATAATTAAATATAAAATTTGGCCACCTTTTATATATATAAAAAAAAAGCAAATTTATACTCTTTAAATTTAGCCTCTAAAAATTTTTATTTGCTGTAATTAGGTTGTCTACACGTATTAAATTTATTTTAATCTTTATGTTACAAAATGATTATGTTTGATACTTATTTTTGTTTTAATAGAAAAAATTATATAATCCTTTATTTAATATTATCATAAAAAATTGCAGACAACCCTTTTTATAATGAATCAACTGTCTGAAAAAGAAAACCATTCACATAGAAAATTAATATACTTTATTATGAGCCCGTATCAAAATCAAGGTTTGAATTTGTGAGACAATTATATCTAGAGTTCGTTATAGAGAAGCCGTATATACAGCTGTACGTATCGCATAATAAAAATATTCGTTGAAAAATTATTAAGTTTATTAAAATAGTTTTTTGAAATTGATTTTTTCTTCATTAAATAAAATATATTAATCTGTTAGGATTTGTTTTAAAAAGAAAAGAATCATAAATAATCATTATGTAAATATATATTCGTTAAAAAATTTGTTATATAAAAGAATGAGTTACTGATTGCAAAGTGATATACATTAATACAATTGCATATTATTACACTTCTAAGTCTAATTATTATTAGAGCTGAGCTGAAAAGCTGCTGTATATTCGATTTTTAATTTACTGGTTTAATAGTGTAGATTACGGATAAGAATATTTCAATATACCGTTAATAAAGGTTTTAATAAATTATTTCCTTGACTCAAATACAGTAAATAATTCAACAATCATATAGAGCGATTTTGACGAATAAGAATTTCAATTTTAAATTTTTCTTTTTTTTTTTACAATATATAAAATTATTTTTATTGATTTGATAATGATTAAATTTTAAAAGAATTTTGAATTCTCTAACCAACCGAGTTAGTCTAGAATTCTGTTGCAAAAACAAATTGATTCAGAATACATAAAAATTTGATTTCGAAGTATAAAACGTACACATATATTTTTTAAAGTTAAATAGAAATAAAATAAATAAATAAATATAATATCACGATATATAAAATTTTAATAAAGTTATATGCAGTACTATAGTTAGTGTTCGGCACAATCAAACAAAAATTTGATAGTCAAATACTTAGGTCGGACATCAAATAATCGCAGATTAACTAATACTACATACAGTATATACGTATATATATATATATATGTATGTATGCATAGTATTGATTAATCTGCGATTGTTTCGATGTCCGATTTAATTACAAGTATTTGACTATCAAATTTTTGTTTGATTGTGCCGAGCACTAAATATATTAATTCGTAGTAATTATTGTGCTATATTAAACTGTATGATGGGCTATTGTTATTTTGTTAAGCTGTAGTATTTCTATACGATGATTGCTCGATTTAATTTCAAAATTTATATAGGTAGAAAGAAGATTCAAAGAAGTCAGTGTGGTATTCTCACAAAGTGCATATTCTAATGCTTTTCCTACTTCTGATCCAAGTTCATTAATACTAATGTCCAAAGAAGATAGAGTAGTATTCTTGCAAAGTGCATTTGCTAACGCTATTCCTCCTTCAAATCCAAGTTCATTAGATTGTAAATTCAAATCTTTTAGCGAGATATTCTTGTAAAGTACATTAGATAAAGCTTTTCCTCCTATTGATCCAAGTTTATTACATCGAAGATTCAAATCTTTTAGAGAAGCATTCTTGCAAAGTGCATCAGATAGTGCTTCTCCTCCTTCTGGTCCAAGATTATTATAACTAAGATTCAAAGAAGTCAAAGCGGTGTTCTTGCAAAGTGCATCAGCCAATGCTTTTCCACCTTCTGGTCCAAGATTATTATAACCAAGATTTAAAGAAGTCAAAGCGATGTTCTTGCAAAGTGCATTTGCTAGCGCTTTTCCTCCGTCTGGTCCAAGATTATTGTTATAAATATCCAAAAAG